ACCACCCCTGGAAGCAGGTTTCCACCAGGCCCCTGTGAATTTTTATCCTTCCCAGAGGCCCTGGATGCAATGTTGAGTTTAAGGAAGGCAGGTGGAGTGGCTGGTGTCCAGAGCACACAGCTGGAGGGTGCCACCCACTGTGTAGATTACAGCTCTTTGGTGGTGACATCGGGCTGGTCAGTTGAGAGCTGAGACCCTGTGAGTGTGCAGACATGGTAGAGCTGGAAGAGGTTTAGTTGTCAGAGTTGCAGCACTTCACATGTCCTGGGAAGGACACCACAGCTAGAAAGCCTCTCTTGGGGCTGCGTGGTGAGAAAGACCACCTGCGAGCAGTGTCTGGCTGTGGTTGGGATACTCCTCTTCCCGGATCTCAAGTCAGCCCAGCAGAGCAGCCTACATATCAACCTCGTGTGATGGAAGTCCTACATCCAATGCCATCATTACAACGCTGGGCCGTAGCTGAGACCTTGTCACCCTCACCAAGAAATGGGCAGCCAGCAGTTTCTACTAAGGGCTTCACACTCATTTACACGGCTTTTCTGAAGGACTCTTGAGAGAAGAGACATGGTGAGGGACTGCCCCGATGAAGCAGAGTCTCAGCTGGCGTGTTCTTGGCTCATCTGTTTCTGAGCAAGGCACGAGGCACTTGGAATAACAAAGCCCAAATCACTTTTATAAAAGTAATTTTTAAACCGCGTGAAGCCTGTGGTCAGGGGTACAACCACAGTCAAAGACCTCAATTCAATTTAGTTCTGTTTGTTTTCTAAAATGACTGCAACAATTTGAACCAGGTCTCAGCTGACATCATAGAATGGTTTGAGTTGGAAGGGACCTCAAAGATCATCCAGTTCCAACCCCCCTGCCATGGGCAGGGACACCCTCCACTACACCAGGTTGCTCAAAGCCTCATCCAGCCTGGCCTTGGACACATCCAGGGAGGGGGCAGCCACAGCTTCTCTGGGCAACCTGTGCCAGTGCCTCACCACCCTCAGAGGGAAGAACGAACCACCAAGAAGCAGCCAAGGATGCTCAAAGACCAAGAGGCTTTGAAAAATCATCTGGGAAAACCAAGTAAGAAATGTCATCTAGGAATCAGTGGTGGGCTGAAGCCTCCACCTCCACCACACACCACAGACACAGTGCTCTTCCCCACACTGAGTCATGACCACGTTAGTCAGAATGGAAGCACAACACGCAGAAACCACCAGTGAAACCACAAAACCACTTGAAAAAAACCCAAGGCCAAGCAACAGGTATGGGACAGATACGCCACAGCAGAAAAGCCTCTGCACTCCTCAAAAAACAGAATTAGGACACCAGGTAGAAGAGGTGGTGAGAAGTGGCAGCAGCGCTCGGTGCTGGTTACAGGTTGTCTATGTTTAGCCTGTACCTGGGCTAAACAGTAGCCAGTTGTTCTGAGACCCAATGACCTCCCCTCTTGAGGAGGGGAATCGGGAAAAGAAAGGAAGATCTGTGAGTTGAGAGAACAATTATTTAATCATTGAAATAAAAGAAAAATGAAAATAATAATATACACAGACAAGTGGTGTACGGTGCAACTGCTCACCACCCCTTGACCAATGTCCAGCCTGTTCCCAGCCAGGAAAATCCCGAAACCATAATCCTGGAAGAGAAAGAGTTGGCTTTGGGAGCAGAACGATGGAAGAGACCCTCCAGGGATGGCAACCATCGAGAAAGAGAGAGAGAGAGAAGAGAGGAAGAGGGAAGAGCCCCTGTCTCCAACAAACTTTCCAATTTATAGTGAGGATGACGTTACACGGTATGGAACACACGTTTGCCAATTCAAGTGTCCATCGCCCTGGCCACGCTCCCACCAGGTTCCTGGGCATCTGGGTCTTGACCAAAAAACAAGTGGAAAAAGTCCTCGATCACTCTGGATACCTGCACACCACGGCTGGTTACAAACTGAACCAAGGTGTCTTATCAGCTTTGTTCTCACCAAACTAGGTGCTGCAGTCGTCTTAAAAATGCAGCTGACTTTGGAAACATAGCTTTTCTGAACAGAAAACTGATTCTATGATTCCATCCCAGCAAAACCAGGACACGGCTATAAGGCCAGTTAGGAACTGGGTCAAGTGGAAAGGGCAAAACAACTCAAGGTAGGGCTACTGCTTTGAATGCAAGAAGTGGAAAGCGTCACCTCCGCCTAGTCTTCAAGGATCTACTGCTTCTGCGTGATGCACACTGTCAGGGGCAGGAAGAACGACTCAGTCCTGCTCCATGGCAGTAATCATCACTGAGAGTGTGGCCTCGCAGCACTAACCATGACACAACAACAAGGTGTTTTCTACCATAGGGAAGGTCTCCATGAGAAGCCAGAGAGACCATCCCACCGTTCATTTCTTGGCACTAGAATAAGCAGGTATCTAGGAGCATCTCTTGGGTTTTTGGAGCAAAGGAGAAAACAAATCCAAAAAAAAATGCTCTAGAATTAGTCAGCACAGCTTTGCTGAGAGACCAGGATTTTTGGAGCAAAGGAGAAAACAAATCAAAAAAAAAATGCTCTAGGATTAGTCAGCACAGCTTTGCTGAGAGACCAGGTGGGACATTAACATGACAAATGACAAAGAGATTTGGCTTAAGGGAACCACAAAGAGAAGGAACAACAAAAACCTCAGAGATAAAGATGGTGTTGCTACAAAGATGAGAGAGGTCCGACTGCAGCCAGCCAGCAATGAGCTAAACGGTAACCAACAGCAGCAGAAGTCGCCCAACAGGAAAGGCAAAGCAGGTACTAGAGTATTTCCAACCTAAGCACCCACCATCAGCCCATCAACGTGCCACAAACATGGGTCTACGAAACAGAGAGCATGGAGAAGAACTTCTCACCAAGCCAAGTTCACACGCTGCCTCAGCAATGGCATGATGGGTTGGGTTGGGCCCAGCAGGTCCAGCATCAGAGACTTCAGAAAGAAACCCTGCCCACCGAGTTACAGCGTCTCTGCAACCTGGGGTAACATCCATCACTAGGACAACCAGCAGAGTTGAAAATCCAACAGATAAGCTTCCAGGCACATGAGCTGCTCCCCAGAACTGAAACAGAAGCCCCAGATTTGCAAGTTCAATTCTTCTGCTTACTGCAGTCCTCTGCTTCCTCCTGCCTAGAAGAAAGGCTTTGGTAGGCAGAGCTCCCTCTGCTTTTGTCAACCACACGAGTAGATCCAACAAAAACATCTCCTCCATCTCTAAACCTCACGTTGCCTGTTTTCTCAGGCCACCATGGCTCTAGTGCTGCCTGCACACGTTGTATACCTTCACCGAGTGGTAGCGGTGGGCGTTCCAAACCACCTCCAACACCATCTACACGTTCACTGCCACAGTCGTCTTCTGCAGCGCAGGGGACACCTGCTCCCCTGCTCTACCTTGATTTCATACCTCATGTTCCAGCTGCAAATCAAGCCTTGCAAATGCCAAAAATCCTTAAAGCTCTGGGCTACTGCCCAGAGGTCACACCCCACCTTCCTTTCTTCCTGTTGCTTGAAGCCCCGGCACAGGCTAACGTCCACTTTAAGAGCAAACACGATCTCTTCATCTTTGTAAAATACATGTTGGGTCTGAGCTTCCTCTGGGCCCTCCTCAGAGCTACTGACCTAAAATTCACTTGGTGCCGAATTACAACTCCTCCCGCGCAGTCAGACCAAACCTGAAGTCTCCTAACGGTACACCAGAAGATGCAAAGCATGTTGTCCTGCTACACAGCCTCACCAGTCACCAGAACATGCTCAGAAACACAGGCAGATGGTTTGAACACCAAAAGCTTAGCAGCATTTGAGCCCCTGGGCCTGAGACATATCAGCAGGGACACATCAGTCCATCTTACTTGAAGGTTACTCACCCACAGATCCTTCCTGGTCGTTTTTGGACCTGAAACTAAAAGAATTTTCTTAGTAATCCTCAAAGAAACATTGCTGCTCCCATCCGAGACCTCACAAAGCTCATACTGACCCTAACCCGCAACCTGATCTCGGCACGTGCAACCTGCAAGGGTGGGCGCAGCTCACACTGGTGTTCTCAAGACACTTCCAAAATTCAGAAGGGCTCATTTGGGTCAGCGTTACGTGGAGGGGTCAGTAAATACTATTATTAGTGAGTCTCAGGGACAGAGCCCTCCTACATGGAGAAAAAGGGGATGTGTGGTTTAACACAAAACCCAACAGCCCAACCAGGCAGCACCCACAGCTGTTTCCTGCAGGCTGACATGACCTGCTTCTACTAATACAGTGGTAGATGACTTCATACTGGTCAGTCCTGTCCCTTCAGCTGGAATTACCTATTTCTCAGGGCTGTGAGATGCCCCTACAGTGCAGCCACTAACACAGACAACGTCAAAGTCTTCTACTCTTCCCACTCGCAAAGACAAGCGTTTGAGAGCCGCGTGCTCTTACAGAGGCGTGCACCACGAAGGACCAAGCTCCTCCAACTCCCATCATTAGGGTGTGACAGGACCTACCTCACCAGGTCTCCTGTGGGGTTGTATGAGCTGTATGGCTGGGATCGAGTCTGTGGGCAATAAATACATCAATGACTTTGTGGAGGTGGAAGAGACCTTTTTAATAAACAGGATTCAAATAAAATTAAAAAAAAAACAAACCCCCTCTGAACTGCCACTGCGAGAAGAGTTCAGATAACTAGCACAGAAGATGATGCTGTGTGTGCACGATGGAGGGAGAAGGGGAGAAAAGAACAAGCTGTCACCAACTTGATGAGCTTCCTCAGTAAATCAGCAGAAACCAACTCAGCAACACTCTCCAGATAAAATACTGCTGGATCCATGAGAAACAACTCCAATGGAAATAAAGAGAAATCCCTACGTCGGAAGGCGCTACATGAGAACAACCAGCGAAATACCGAGTGCCGCTGGAGCCGCAGCGATGGCAGGGAGACGGGTAAGATCTGCCAGTCATTCCTGGGG